GATACGGGTAGACAAGGGGTAGATTTAGAAAACGTGTGTATACATTTGCAAACTGGGCATTTGGGGAGGTGTGAGCTCTTAAGGATCCTTGGGGACGTGGAGAGAATAGAGGGAATGAATCAGTTCTGAAACATGTCTTCAATAAATCTAAACATCTCCACCTTTATTTGATTAATATTCATACCTTCATTTGATCAACATTCATACCTTCATTTGATCAACATTTATACCTTCATTTGATCAACATTCATACCTTCGTTTAATCAACATTTATACGTTCATTTGATCAATATTTATACCGACATGTAATCGATATTTAAACCTTCATTTGATAAATATTTATACCGTCATGTGATCGATATTTAAACTTTCATTTGATCAATACTTACACCCATATATGATCAATATTTTACCTTCATTTGATAAATATTTATACCTCCGTTTGATCAGAATTTATACCGTCACGTGATCAATATTCGTACCTTCATTTGATCAAAATTTATACCGTCATGTGAACGATATTTATATTTCTATTTGATCAATACTTACACCTATATATGATCAATATATATACCTTCATCTGAACAATATTTATACCTTTATTTGGTCAAAATTGATACCTTCATGTTATCAATATGTAATCAATATAAAGCATTTGTAGCCCGTTTACCTTCATTTAATCATTTAATTCAATTATACCTTTAATGATATACGACATTTCTTTCGTCAAAACAGCTTATGTTTGAATCGCATTCGAAAGACATGTTACAAAAATTAGTCGTCCAATGAAATTATACTCATGAGCGAAAGGAACCCTGTGCTTAGTGTTTTGAAGGTGGTTTTGTCACTACTGAACCGGAGCTTTGATGGCGAATAGGTACAGGGTACGTATATGCATTATGTCATTAAACTGTGAAACTATTGACTGTGATGGTCTTTCGGAATGTGAAACCCATGTTTGTTTGTTGTTTAACACCGTACTAAGTTTGACCTACCGATTCATTTAGTCCCTCATACAAGTTTAGGATGCTGGGGACCTCTTTAAACTCGGAATCCCAACAGGGGGGTGATTTCCAACCACTAGCAAAACACACAACACGTGTATCTAGTTATATGATTAAGATCACACGAACAGATGATTATACCATCCCACGCAAACAGATAATTATTTCATCCCACGCACACTATCTTGTTCTACATCACTCCCACAACAGCAACGTCCCCCATCTTGTCTAATATCGGTAATGTTAACTACACTGTACTGTTATTAATACTCCACGAAACACATGACTCACCCGGAGAATGAACCATGAGAGTTAACGACCATATCTACCTATGACGTTATGCTGGATAATCACAACCAACTTTAAGAGCCTGCCGCAAATGAACATCAGTTTTAATTAAAGCGCCATGCTATTTTATCACAATAAACTAGAAGATTCCGAAGATTGATATCATAACATACGTCAGTATTATCTAGGGCTTATATTTCCTCTGCTACGGGTCCCTAGTGCAGTTTTTATTGATGAAAAAGTTAGTGGCATAAGTTTCTTTTTGATATTCCGCAAAGTTCGGGATCTAGTGTTACATCAAAGAGGCAAGTGCTTGCAAATATCTTTAGGTAGGTGCATTTATAGCCTCGTATTTAATTAGTCCAATGGATGATAAATAGCGTAGGTTCAAACTTAATGCACATGGAGATATTAATAATAGACTACATAAAAAGCGCTCCTTATCACATCCAGATTGCATGCATGTATATCCTGGCGAGTTAGCGGGATCAAATGTTTGTGCTATAATTCCGTATTCTGTACCACAAAGGTAAAAGGGCGGAACAGTTGATTTTGTTCCAAATGAAGCCCAATCATTAATCATTGAAGGAGATGAAACACATACTGGCTCCACGCGTCTGTGTTGGTTCATCTGGTTGTGAGGGCAAATTACATTTGTGAGGATACTTCCGTTTGTTGATAGTTCGTGTCACATACAGGCCGCTATACGCTACACACTATATTTTTTGTATGATCTTATGAGGGGCGAAGGGCTAGCCTGATCATCATAGCGTTCGCTGTACCCTTGATTTTGATTTTGTTGGACGTTAACTAAAAGGCACTTCCAACCTTACTCGCTAACTTATGAATAATATACTACTCAAAAGAAGTTAAAGAACACCCGATTTAATTTGACTATAGTTATTGGTAAATCGTTCAACCTGATTTTTTCATATGACTGTAGTTAGTCTGTCATGACATGACAGATAACAATAGTAATGTGAAAATAAAAGGATAAACCTAATGAATGTCGATTTGAACAAGGTATTGATCCGTTAAACATGCCTAGAATACATTCCTACAACTTTACCAAGTTCTGTCGCAACAAATCTGATTCTCTGCATCACCATTGGTGCTGGTTCAACCTGATGCGAATAGGTAACGTTTTTGTGCACCCATGTCGGCACCAATATGATATTTGTGAGTGAGTTATGTTGAACTATTGTTACTCTGTCATGTCATGACAGATTAACTACAGTCATATGAAAACATCAGGTGTTCTCTAGCTTCTTAGGAGCACGGGAATAGAGTCGCATTTCGCTGGGCTGTTTTGCGTCCCTAGGCTGCCCGGATCCGATAATCGTGGTAAGATTATGATCTCCTGTTTGTCAGCACTATGCCTGTGCATTGCACACAATTCGTATACGTCCAAGACCTCCATCGCGTAAGCTTTCTTCCACTATTAAACTGACAGGCCAGAAATACTGTTCAAAGCGGCGTTAAACATAACTCACTCGTGAATATCATATTGGTGCCAACATGGGTGCACAAAAACGTTTCCTTTTCGCATCAGGTTGAACCAGCGCCAAATGATGCAGCAGAGATGATGAAGAAAATCAGATTTGTAGCGACAGAAGAACTTGGTAAAGTTGTAGGAATGGATTCCAGGAATGATTAACAGATTAATACCTTGTTAAAATCGACATTCTTAAGGTTTATCCTTTTGTTGCAAAAAAAACCCCTCTGTACCTAAACACTTAAATACCCTCCAGGTACGAAAAGACCTCCGCCAAGCTCATTACTGATTACTGAGGAGTCACTTTGAGCCCCGTAATGATTACTGCCGTAAGCGCTCGTAATGATTTCTAGCTCCTGTTCATTACCGCCCTATTCCGATACAAATCTCTCCTAATAAAGGTCCAACGCAAAACGAAAACGACCAAAGCGTTACAAATGATCTCGAATGAGATGGCGAAAATTTGATACACTTTCAAAGTTAAAACATATGTAATACTACAAAATAACGTCGATTAAAACGTAATTTAGCGCTGTTGATTTGAATCGGTGTTCACCCCCAAATTGTGCCTTTTCAAGTGTAATAAACACGACAAGATCCATTTAACTTTCATTTAGAGCTAGGGTTTCCTGCTATCAGAAGAGTCTTTCAGAAAACCTTCAAACCCAGAACGTAGTTATCTGGAGATCTATTACATTATCTCGTTGACACCTAAAACTGTTCTATAAAAACTGGCTTGTCGTGTCAGGGGCATAACGTTTAATGTAAGGATACGGTTTCGCCAAAATTATTCCGCTCAACCTTCAAAGGAAGCGGTAAAATTGACGACAACCTAATTACACTGGAAAATGCAGTGCTGGGGGCGAGGGGGGATTGTGAGCACGTTTCTGGGTTAGAGGAAACAGTATCGCAGCATGTTTCCGTGATAGATCTACTGTATTGAAGCTGCGGATATTGACTTCGTTCTTGAATCGTGACTACTGGCACGGGTTGTATTGTTTTAAGTTTGTTAAATCGATGTAGATGCGGTGGAGTTCTGGACATGTGTCTACATATGTGACTATGCAGAGAAAACGGAATTCAAATGAAGAAAGCTAAAAACAGGACGGAAGCCATAACAAATTGTTTCCTTGGTTTTAAACTGGGGCAAAAAAAGTAGATGGTTGGAAATACAATTTGACCAAAAACTTAGAAACGTTATCAAAACGTTACTCGGCCGAAAACAGTCGCCAAGACATTGCAAACTGAAGGTCCAAAGCACTACTATGATACCCATATCAAATACATGACCATTGAATAACGATGTCTTGTTTGTTTCATTATCAATTAGCCACTATCAAACACGGGTGTGTACTTTCTTTTGCCCGGCAATTCAGGTCAAAAGTGATGAATGAATGAGTGAATACTCGTATATATTTTACTCCGCAGTCAGCAACGCATGTATTAAATCTTCATCACGGCACAGTATCAGCTAAACCGGTTTATGACACCACGAACAACGACCCGAGCAGTTGGGGTACCATCATACACAATCAGCTAGGTGACGTACAGTGTAACCACCCCATCCTCATTGAAGTCAGCTGCAGACAACATGGGCTGCTGGGGATCTGTTTAGCTCCGGAATATCAAAGGGAACGCACGCGGTGATCTCGCTGTCGAAAGTCTTTACGTTGTGTTCTCCTGAATGTGTTTTCTTAAAGTCATAATATAAAGTTTACTCACAGACCCGTAAAATGAAATGCTGACCTCGAGTATAAAGGAATCATGGTGTTGTTTTTTAAAAATTTAACGAAAACTATGATTTCAGAGTGAATTTAAGTTTGAGGAGAGAGGAGGAAAATACCCCCCCCCCCCCCCCCCAAGAATCAATATGTCGTTACCTAAAATGAGTGAGTGAGTTGGATGTTACACCGCATTTTCTAATATGCCAGCCGTATGAAGACGACAGCATCAAGAATACGCTTAATACATTGTAACCATGTTGAGAATCAAACCCACGGTGTGACGAGGCAATGATTTAACTACTAGACTACCCCAACTCTTCACTTGAGAGGAGGATAGCACATGGTGAAATAATAACTGAACCCACAACATGTAATGAGTTTGATGCAACACGTCTGTAGCTTGTAGACTTCAGACAGTAAAACTGACTCATCTCTTCTATGATTTGAGACAATGGTGTCGGGACGTGAAACGTGCCCCCAAATACTAACCTCGGAATTTCTCAACGCAATCTGGAAGCTCGAGGGACGATGACGATGACGTAACTTCCTGTTAGTATGGACACTTCCAAGAAGCAGATCGTGTATCTTCCTCACGTGGTGCTTGACGTCACCAGACTCCCGCCCTTGGTCCAAGTCATTGTCATGCAAACCACGGCTATGAGAAGTCTTGTGTTTCTTAATTTCCACCCTCATCAGCTGCAGCTCCGATAAGGTAAAGTTTAATAAATGGGAACAATCGATATCCTTCGCTAGCGTCTTCTCTGGACCTTCTCCGGGCTTTTCCAGAGGGATGCTCATAAAGAGTTGTTTTTCAAACGTTTCCAGTTTCACCGTCCCTAAAACCTTGCACGATCGGTTAAAATCCACCTGCAGACTTTTGACAATATCAGGTGAATATGGAATCACGTGAGCTTTGATAACTTGGTACTCGGATTCTGTCCCGCCCGGTACCAGCCATGATTGCCGGAGCTGTCGATATGTCCCGTGGGCCACGATGGCGTATCTGGGATCGTTGCAGTCGGGGTCGTTGTAATAGTATTGATGAACTTCAAACGTATTTTCACTGAATTTGTATTTCCTGAGAAGGTATTCGGGTCCCGAACGAATTTCACATCTGGAACAAAATGAAACGATTTTAACACGAGTGAGTGAGTGATTTTACAATATGACACACAATCAGCCATGTAACTCGGCTAAAACGAGAAGCATTGTGTAATAGGGACTTCCTATTAGTATTGTAGATTCTAAGAACCTAAAAAAAGAATCTTATAAAAATAAGTTGCCGATGAAAACAAATTCAAGTAAAAATCCCCGCAAGGAATGTTGACATTGGCGAAGTGTCGTGGGGGGTTTAACTTCGCGTTCAAGATCATTGCACTGACATTGCGAAGTGCATGCACGTGTGTGTGTGTGTGTGTGTGTGTGTGTGTGTGTGTGTGTGTCTGCATATACTAGTCCAGACTAATGCCGATTTTATAGTGCTACCCCAACGTGCCGCAGTTTAACATGAATCCCCCACACAGACACACCTATACTGACTCCGAGACGACACGTATACTGACGTTAGCCCATTAATGCCGAGCGCCAGGCAGGGTAACAACAAGTACCATCTTTTTACGTCTTTTGGTATGAACCCCGGACCTTCCCCTCTCCGGGCGGACGCTCTACCACTAGGTTAACATTGGTAATTAATATGTCAATGATTTAGTTACGTCACAGAGCAGGACGCAGACACAAAAGAAGCTACCCGACGTCATCCGTTTGTAAATATGTCAGTGTCAAATCAAGTAGACTAACAAATCATTATTTTCATTTCTTAATTGCTTGCCAGTTTTCCAATTTATCTTGCAGTTTAAACTGCCACATGCAGAAGACAGAAGGCCATTACAATGTCATCACACAATTATCCTTGACTCAGCATGCCTATAAAATCCTACCTGACATGACTTAAGAGATGGAAGTCTGAGAACTGCACTACGTATCTACCCTCGTTAAACCGCGACCCTTAGCATCTGAGATCCACCCTTCGCGCACCTGCATGAGTCATTTGCAAAGGGAAGTAACTCAATGGAATAATGACTTGCTTGCCACCATTGCACTTCCTCCCCTGGTTTGATCTCGCCGACAGGTAGGGAATGTAATCATGGAAGCTGCAGAGGCGGGTGAACAAAGGGTTGCTTAATAGAACCAGAGTCGAGTTTCTTGATGTGCTGGTGATAAGGTTGTTGTAAGGGAGATGACCAGGTTCTAACACAGACTGGAATGGATGCGATGCTGGGCAAATGTCATTGTAGAAACAGTAAAATTGAATAGAACCCCATGTAGGTTGCAACATCAGGTCGATCACAGTTAGACATCAGTCAAATATAAAATTGGAATTCGTCAAGGAAATTGCAAATATCACCACCTTTTATATAATACAAAGGAAGTCACTTGCAGTGCACATGTGTATGGTGTAGCGAACACACTATTCTTGACTGTATGTGAATGGGTGAGTCTGACGCCGTTTTTAGCAATATTAAAGTAATATCAATGCATCACGTTCCTGTTACAAATTGAATTAAACACAATGCGAACATGTCCGGAACATCTATGTCCACTACATTGAAAAACGAGGGAACATTGACGACTAGAGGCCAAAAAGACGACCACATTTTGCACAAGTTGGAATTTCTATGTAAATGTAACGACAGCTACGTCTAACACATAAGTAAAATCTATTAGTTTTGGAGTTATCTGACAAGGCTTGGGTCACACGATGGTCAAAGATAAAGATGGAAATGCCCAAGACGAGGACTTTGTCACGGAGAGGGGTCGAACTAGATGCAGTGACAAAGTGCGAAACAGGAGGTCGCCAGTGCGAACAATGACTACCGTCTCTGTCTATAGAAAATAGCACATAGTGTAGTCCTCTCTAACATGATACTATCGTGACATTTAGACACGGCTTGTTATTATACATATTATTAAAATTCTTTCAAAATAACGAAAACCAATAGGGAGGTTAACTGAGGTCGGGAATTTGTGTACCAAGCAATGCAAGATTTGATCAAACTGTCATCGAGAGACGTAGAGAAATGGAAGGTAACTGTAAGAGTAATGTATTTTGACAGTTTGTTCTTACCCCTTTTAACATGCTTTTAGAATATAGAAGTTGGCAATGTGTGAGCAAATAAATGTTTATGCAGGTGTTATTTGGATGAACCTTCCCGAGAGTGTCTAATTTCTGATTCTTGTATAGGTTCAAATGTATGTGTTTCAGACAAGTGCGTGCTTAACATGGAATTACACGATGCAGTTCGTCACGTCGAAAAGATACCCCGTTCTCTGACATATCGGCAAACATAGTTTTCACATGGCTGATCTAACGGCCTATCGCCTAAAGTGATATGGTTAATGAATGCAGAGGTGTTTGGCCCGAAATGTATCGTAATTTTCAGTGTTACCCAAACCTTTAGACGCCCTAGAACTCGTGACGTGATTAATCTAAAACGTTGAAAATTGTCTTGAAAAAAACAGGTGTTAATTATCATTACTGATCCTCCCGTATAACCTGTGACTATTTATCTTGATAGTTTTCTCGACAAAGGCTGCCGTTAATTCTCATCCTATTGTTAACGCTCTTTTCAACCGTCCCTATCTTGAGATTATATACGTGACCTTGAACCAAGGGCAAGGGGAGATAATTGTTTTCGACAGACCCCGAACGTAACACAATCGGCCTGTCTTGTATCGGGAAACTGATTTAAATCCAGGACAAATTTTATCGTTTCTTTGACGAACATTAAGCAAAGATAAAAGGAGAGTATCCCCGCGATGGCGTAATAAAACGCCCAATTTCATTAACGCGCCAGGGAGGGGTAACTTGGATACGGGCAACTTAACGACGGGTTGTGATCCGGTCGTAAACAAATCAGGAAAGTATGCAATTTGAGGCATATATTAAACGATCACGCAAATGAATAAAAGGTTTAAAGCACTTGTAGAATCTCTACAAATGAAATTAGCATCTCCGTGTCAACAAATGTTTGGTATCGACAACATTCATTGTAGTTGGTAGGGCAATTACCAGTGCTTATGGGTTGTGGAGACGTTTGAAACAGGTTCCTTACATAACCTTTGCGACACCCCTTCGACGTGCTAAGACTATATTGACATAAAATTAGGTATCCGTTTGCTGCGAAACTTGCGTTTACATACTGAATTGCGAAAGAGGAGACACGTGCATAAATTCTTCAAACCTGCGAGTTTAACGAGACGTAGCCAGGGATTCTTTAAAAGCGTTGGTTTGATTGAGATAAGGTGATAGTTAGTACTGTCAATTATAAAAAAAGTGTCAAGTTGTCAATTGTTTCCATTGATGGTCGTTACATTTTATAATATGGACTGTCTTAAAACGCGAAATCATATATAATTATAAAACTAAGGAAAGTGTGATAAGCGCTCGGGCGAGTACACAAAATATGTTGACGTAGCACCCAGAAGTAATGACAAATCGTTCTATTCAAGGTCAAAGGAACAAAGACAATCAGTTGAATACGTCACGCTACATATCTTCAGCATGTGTTGTTATTGTTATGAACAATATAATATCATACTTACGTCGCAGACTTCGATTTCCTTGGAATTTGGACCACGTGCCCTTTGAAATATAATACGTGTTTTGTTTCTCGAAATAAATGTCGCCGTATATTTCCTGAAACCTTGTTTATTATTTCTTTTGTATGTATATATATCATAAAGGATGTGAAATTGTTGACGAAAAACCTTCCCCTTTTTCAGAAGCGCAGTTCTCGCGAACCAAAGTGACTAAGAGAATGGTTAAAACAGCAATGTACATTTCCTGTAGTGTTGTGAATATCACCCAGCTGGGACAGCGTCGGCTACGGTTCTGTGATGTATTTCGATGTAGGTAGCATCTTGAAGACATTTACAACCTCATACGTTTCCGTGAGAGAAGCTATGCAAACATGGTCGCGACCGAACCCAACCTTAATGGCACTGGACGTATTCCATGTTACGAACATTCAACTGACAGAAATGCCAGACCGATACGAAGTCTCAGCCTGCGCAATAGTCTGATTGTGAGGTATATATTTAGTTTAAAAGGAGTATTCATGAAAACAACGTTTAATAGCTACGTTAGTTTGTCGTTTGTCATGTGGTCACATGATTACAGAACCATTATTACTGAGTGAGTGGGTGTTTGAGTGAGTGAGTGAGTGAATGAGATTGAGTGAGTGAGTGAGTGTGTGTGTGTGTGTGTGTGTGTGTGTGTGTGTGTGTGTGTGTGTGTGTGTGTGTGTGAGTGTGTGTGTGTGTGTGAGTGTGAGTGTGTGTGTGTGTGTGTGTGTGTGTGTGTGTGAGTGTGTGTGTGTGTGTGTGTGTGTGTGTGTGTGTGTGTGTGTGTGTGTGAGTGTGTGTGTGTGTGTGTGTGTGTGTGTGAGTGTGTGTGTGTGTGTGTGTGTGTGTGTGTGTGTGTGTGTGTGTGTGTGTGTGTGTGTGTGTGTGTGAGTGTGTGTGTGTGTGTGTGTGTGTGTGTGTGTGTGTGAGTGTGTGTGTGTGTGTGTGTGTGTGTGTGTGTGTGTGTGTGTGTGTGTGTGAGTGTGTGTGAGTGTGTGTGTGTGTGTGTATATGTGTGTGTGTGTGTGTGTGTGTGTGTGTGTGTGTGTGTGTGTGTGTGTGTGTGTGTGTGCGTGTGTGAGTGCGTGGTTGAGTAGTGAGTAAGTGCGTGGTTGAGTGAGTGAGTGTGTGTTTTTGTGAGTGTGAGTATGTGAATCTGTGAGTGAGTGGGTGGGCGTTTGAGTAAGTGAGAATGACAGTAAGTGCGTGAGTGAATGTGCGGGTGGGCGAGAGAGCAAGTGCTTCAACCACTAGAATACCCAATCGCCGGTAACATCATGAATGTTCCTTGAGCGTACGTTAGTACCCAAGAGTACTGTGGGGCTTAGTACAGCTCCAAAGTAAAGAAAGAGCGCATATTGTGAGTTGACAATTCGTGTTCAGTGATCATGTAATTTGGAGTCATATTCTTTATGTACGTTTTCTTAAGTACATATTCGCTTCAACTGTAATTTTTCCGAAAATATTAATAATAAATGTTTAGTATGTTTC